AAATTCCTGGCAAATACTGCTGGCCTGCCATTCAGTCCCTACCCCTGTGCCCAGGGTTCCCCGTCTTGCCTAGCCAGTCCCCTTCAGGAACCTGGAGGTGTGGCCAATACAAGGGCTATGTAGGACTGCTCAGCTTCCAGGGTCTCTTCAGTCTGTCCGTTGTGGACGCTCCATGTTTTCTCAGCTGCTGGGAAAGGGATTCAGCCCTTTCAGACTTGGTTTGGAATGCTCACTTGTTTTCTCAGCTGCTGAGAAAGGAACTCAGCACTTTCAGACTTGGTTTGGAATGTTCACTTGAAAACTGTAGCTACTCCAACATTCTAGTATTGCCGGGCCCAGACCATGCATGGCTGTAATCCCGGCACTCTGAGGCAGGAGGATCACAAGTTCAAGCCTTGCCTGGGAAACTTAGTGACTTAGTGAGACCCTGAAAAATAAAAAAGGGCTGGGGGTATAGCTCAGCACAAAGGCCTTGGGTGGTTTTAATCCCCAGTACCCCCCCAAAAAAATCTGATATTAAAGCTCAAGTTATCTTTTCCTTCTCCCTGAAAACTAAGATAGACACACCAAGCTTCTAGCAAGCTTCTTGGACCCTGTGCTGAACTTGGCTGTGAACAGGACCTCCACTGGGCTGGGAGACACTCTGGCAGGGAAACAGGGCCAAGATTATGATCTTAATTCCTCAAGCAGGACACAGGCGGAACCTTCTATCAACTCTTCCAACTGGGTCAAGTTGAAGGCAGCAGACTTTCTTACAAATAGTTCTTCATTTTACTCTTCTCCTTTCTGATTAATAAAAGTACATTCTCGAACGTATGACTCATTTTGAAAATCATAATCGCTAGCTTCATTGCAGCACATAGTATGGCTCAATAAATATAGAATTAACTGGAAATGATGGCTTCCTACTGAAGGGGGTCATTTTAAAAATTCTTTGTCAAGAGCTCACAGCATTAGAAGAGACAGGATACAAACAATTTGTGAAATGCTAGAGACAAAAAGTTCATTGCTAATATTTTTAAAAGCCATGCAAGTGTGGTGAGGGTTAAGCTTCTCGCAATATATCCCTTTACTTTTTAAATTTTTAAACAAGGACTGGGGTTGCAGTTCAGTGTTAGAACTCTTGCCCCGTGTATGCAGGGCCCCCGGCTTCTATCCCCAGTATGGAAAAAAATTTGAAACATATGTATGTACAGTGTATCCTGTTTCAGAAAATAGATTGAAGTCGACCTTAAACTTTTATTCAGCACTCAAGACATTATCACTATTGCAAACCTATTTTCAGTCTCTAAAACCTTGATAGTGATAGGGAAAACTTTTATAAATAGCAAAAACCTATAAAGTGTTACAATGTAAAGTGGCTTCTATTATCTCTAACAGCACTTTGTTTAGCTCAAAACTAATAGGCACCGAAGGCACTAATTGCTGAATGAGGCATTTGGTCTGACTCTAAGATAACAGGGCACGTCAAGGTCTTGAGCTCTGATGAGACTGGAGCCACATGATCATAAAAGTGTCTAAATGAAAGAACCCATTGCTAACATTTGCTCCCCTGACCCTGAACACCCGCTTCTTATGGGCTAGAATAGATAACTAGGTGAATCTTAAAGGTAAACTCCCCAACTGCAAAGAACTGTTACGTCTGGGTTGAAAAGATGAACTATTCTGTGACCGTGATTTGAACTGTGAGAATGAAATGTAACCACCCAAATGAAGTCAAGGCTGTGAAACCCTGTAAAAGGAGGAGTTGTAACCCAGTGCGCCGTCGATCCAGGCACGGCTTCTTATGTGAGATCGACCCTTATCGATAAGTAAATTTATTATTTTACTTTCATTCTGCTGCCTCTCTGTGTGTCACTTACTGATTCCTTCCATAACAATAGAGTCATATGGGGAGCTTTTACTTTTATTTGTACATGTTTGCATTACATAATGTTTTCTTTCCTTGTGTGGAGTTGCTACATGTACATAACACATTTTAATGCATTTTTTCATCCCCCTTCCCTCCTCGCCCCCCATCTCTTGATGCCTTTCCCATTTGTGAATGATCTATCTCCCTGCATCCAATTATTTTTTATTTTGGTCTTTTTTTAGATAATGTTTTATTGTCTTTGGGAAATTAGATACACACAGCTTGGTTAATGACCTTTATAAAATACTTCTTTGAACTATCAAAGTCATTAAGCATGATTTTTATTCTGAGACATTAAAATACTCTTTTAAATTGTAGAATAAAAATATTGGGAGGTGATGTGAGGTATTGTTATATGTAAAATAGATACATAGTTCTTTTACCATATTTACTATCATTTTGTATGAAGCCTTCAAAAATCACTATGCTACTTGAAGTGATCTACTGGTTGTGCTTATATTTTCAGGTCAGCACCATCATTGTGTTTAGAGTTTGAGCTGTGTCATGTATGGTGCATAATATTTAGGGAACAGTCATCCTGACATTTGGACTACAAGAAGTCTCTCTTATGAACCAAAAATAATTTTTACGTTTTACTTGCAAAAGTTACACGTGTATGTGTTGTTCTCTTTAAGGAAAAAAAACAAGATGCAAAGTTCTTTTAGTTGATATTCAATGTATTTAAGTATGCAATCATAAGCCATATGTTGTTTTTTTCTAGTTTAAATGATGTGACCATCTTTGTTCTGTTCCAAGGTATCTGTGCCTTGTAGTGACATATTTTCTGCAGTATCTTCTTTGCTAGAAGTTAACTGTATATAGAATGTATGACTGAATGACTACCGTGTATCTGCAGGAACCAGCTTAATCCTGCATTATAATACCTGCATTTGCTTTTTGGGTTTTTTTTTTCAAAGCCTTTTCGTGTATTTCTCATTAACTAGTGCTACAGTTCGACTTGTTTCAGAGGGGAAGGCTGTCCTGTTGACATAAACAGGTAACAGGGCACACACTACCTTGCTGCCTCTTATCCACACCTACGGGGAGAGGAGCCGAGGTGGAAGTGACATTAAACGTTAACAGTGTCACACTGAAGCAGATTAAGAAAGGCCACAGCTTTCTTTCCCC